TTCTGTGGGGTTTTTAAAATATGGTTACACCAAGCTCTCTCTCTCTCTCTCTCTCTCTCTCTCTCTCTCTCTCTCTCTCTCTCTCTCCTGGTGCTAGGGACTGAACCCAGGGCCTTGCATATTCTAGGCAAGGGCTCTACCACTGAGCTACACCCCAGGCTCACTCTTTTAATATGGCAAGTAATACATGAAAACTTACATATGTGGCTGCATTGTGCTTTTATTGGACAGCACCAGTCTAGGAGAAAAGCATGCTAACTAGAAAGAATGGCAAGTGCAAAGGCCCTGATGCAAAAACTGAAGTATATGGGGCAACGGGGGCCAGAGAAAGAGTGGATAAAATGGGAAGAGAATAAATTCAGTGCAACCTTGGTGTGGCTCAGTAAGAAGGTATCTCAGGTGTCTCAGGCTGGCCTGGAACTCTCTATGTATCCATGGATGATCTCAAACTCCTGATCCTCATGTCTCTATTTCCTGGGTGCTGGATTCCAGGCATATACTACCCCATCTAGTTTTTTGTGGTGCTGAGGATGGATATCAGTGTTTCCTGCATGCTAGGAAACTATTCTACCATCTGTGGGACATCCTTAGCCTCAGAGCGTTTTTTAGGGGGTAGAATGGGAGCTGGGGAGGTACTTGAGACAAGATAGTCTTGAACTAACTTTGTAGCCCAGGTCTGCTTCACACCACAAATCCTTGCCTCCTGAGTGCTCAGAAGAGGGGAGTTTTTAAAAATTCTTAATTAAAAAAAATTATATTGTCCTAGTTTGTTTCTACATTGCTGTGACAAAACACTCTGACCACTACCAACTTGGGGAGGAAAGGGTTCATTTATCTTACATCTCCCAGGTCACAGTTCATCAGGGAGCCCAAGGTAGGAACTCAGGGCAGGAACTTGGAGGCAGGAGCTGGAGCACAGGCCATGGAGGAATACTGCTTACTGGCTTGCTCCCCTGGCCCCTGCTCAGCCTGCTTTTTTATGCAACACAGGCCCACCTGCCCAGGGGTGGTACCACCCACAGTGAGCTGGGCCCTTCCACATGACTCAACAATCTAGAGACTACCCCACAGACATGGCCACAGGTCAGTCCAAAGGAGGCAATTCCCCAGTTGAGTCTCCCTCTACCCAGGGGTGTCAAGTTGACATTAAAGCTATCCAGCACATATATATACTGGGCTAGAGAGATGGCTTAGCAGTTAAAGAACATGTATGGCTCTTCCAGAGACTCCAAGTTCAATCCTCAGCAACCATTTCAGGCAGCCAACAATCATCTATAACTCCAGCTTCTGGGGCATCTGACACCTCTGGCTTCTTGCACATAACCACATACACACACACACACACACACACACACACACATATACAGTACCCATAACTGAAAAATTAAAAAACTCTCATCTATCATCTACCTATCTATCTACCTACCTATCAATCTATCTATCTACCTACCTATCTATCTATAGTCTATCTACTTATTTGTTATTGATTGATTATGTATGGGGAGGATGAGCATGTGGAAGTCAGAAGACAACTTGTGGGAGTTGGTTTTCTCCTTCCATGATGAGGGTCCTGAGAATCCAATTCAGGTCATCAGGCCAGGCTGCAAGCTCCTGTGCTTGCTGAGCCAAGTCGCGGGCCCAGGAGGTGAGTTTTAATTACAGTGGGGAAAGCAGTTTAAGGGGGAAACAGCATGGTTTGAATCACACCTCTGTGGTGGCCAGGCAGAGAACCGACTGTGGGTGGGTAGATGGAAAGCAGGGTGTTTTTGGAGGAAGAATGTTGGGCTCCAGTACTGGGTTCGTTTATGTCTCTGCTCTCCTGGGCCTCAGTTTCCTGCCTTATGGGACTGGTTGTACTTGTGCTTCAAGACCCCAGCATCCTGCCAGGCGACCGCAGCCCTGCAGGAGAGGAGGCTGCCGCTAGGGGCGTCTCCTCGATGGCTCGGCGCTCGGCTGGCCAGGCGCCGGCGCGTCGCCACTCGATTGGTCGGGTCGAGCGCGCGGCCTGCGCCATTGGGGAGCGGCGAGAGGAAGCGCGCAGTGCCGGGCTGGGGCTGGCTGCTGGGGACGCCGACAGGTAGGGGCCGAGGCCGGCGGCTCCGGGCGGCGGGCCGGGCTGAGGGTCTCGGGGGACTGGAGGGCGGGCGGGATCTACGCCCACCGCGGCCGCCCGGTGTGCTCTGCTCTGAGTCCGCGGCAGCCGGCCTCTCGGGGAGCTCGGGGCGGCCTCTCGGGGACCCCGGAGTCCGAGTGTGGCGGGACACGGCAGGCCGGGGCTCGGGGCGGGCTGGGCTGAGCGGAGCACCGCCCCCGCAGGCTTGGCGACGCCCCTGGGTTTGGGGGTGTCACCCCTGCCGAGCCCCCTGCAGCACGCTCCCCGGGGGCGTCATCGTTCCTCCGGGTGGCGTCGCCATCCCGCTGGGGTCACCTCTGGGTGGGGACGTCAGGCCTCCCTCCTGCCTTTCCCGGACTCCCCGGGGGTCCCTCCTCTTCCAGGTCGTGGGGGGGTCCCCGAGAGCCAGCCCCTCTAGACGTGGGGCTCGGTCTTCTGCAGACAGGCGTGGGGTTCTGACCGCAGACCGAGCTGCGGGAGGCGGGGGTGGCAGTGGAGGGCTGTGCCTTCTGGAATCTGTGCCTCCTGGGCAGCTCCTGCGGGGCCCCGACACCCGCTCGGGGATGTCCCCCTGTCGCAGAGCTCCCCGAGTGGTTCAGCACTCAGCCGCGGGATGCCCGGAGTCCAGCCGCCAGTCCATCCTGTTCCCCGGGCTGGCCTCCTCCCGGGGAGGGGCCTGGCTCAAGGTCATGGCCGGCTGTGTGCCCGCCCAGGCTGTGGGCTAAGCCCAGATCTTCAGTGTCACCTGCCCCACCGGAGAGAGCGGAAGCCAGGTGGGGGTTAGGGCTGGGCAGCTGCCTATAAATCCTGATTGGACCCGAGAATATAAACAGTGGGATTCTGGCCAGTCTGGCGGCCCTTCCTGAAACCCGATGCCTTAAGGGAATCCTTGAAGTGGCCTCCAGCCTGGTCTAGATGCTTAGCAGAGCTAATGGATGCCTTCTGGCTTGGCCCTCAATTTACTTAGCAGGGTATCTTAGGGGCTCTAACCTTCCATGTCTTTTAATCAAGGACTTGGTGTTCCTCCATCTTCAGGGTCAGTGTGATAGGGCCTGAACCTGGGTGCAAAATGACAGTGATTTCCCCAAAACAAACAAAACAATTTTTAAATTAATTTTATTTGATATCAGTGTATTACCTGCATGCATGCAAGTGCATTCCTGTCCTGCAGTGCCCGTGGAGTTCAGAAGAGGTCGCTGGCTCCCCTGGAACTGGAGTTACAGACGGTTGTTAGCCACCTTGTGGGTGCTGGGAATTGAACCTGGGTCCTCCGCAAGAGCAGCCAGTGCTCTTAACCGCTGAGCCATCTCTCCAGCCCTCCCCAACCAGTTTTTTTGTTTGTTTGTTTACATTCATTAATTTTGTGTGTATGGGTGGGGGTGTCGCACAGTGGAGGTCAGAGGACATCCTACTGAAATCAGATCTCTCCTTCCAGCATGAGGGTTCTCAGGTGGTCAGGCTTGGTGGCTCTATCCTTATTGGGCCATCTCGCTTGCCTGGCAGTGGTTTCCCTTTACTGGGAAAACATTTGTAGTTGGCACTTCAGGGAAAGTTGGCTTTTAGGGCTGAAATTAATGGCAATAACAAAAATAAAGAGTACTCCAGCTCTGGCTGAGTGCCCAGGAGTGCCTGAGGCTCATGTAGTGAGACGGCCAGTCAGCTTCACATTGGTTTAGAAGATTTACCTGTTTAAAATGACAGTAGAGAAATGTTTCTTTCGCTTCACCGAAGTATTTTTAAAATCTTACTTATTTACATGTATGTATACTTGTGTAAATGTATGCCATATGTGTGAGGTGGTCGTAAGAAGGGGTCAGATCCCAGGGGAGCTGGAGTTACAGGTGACTGTGAGCTACTTGATGTGAGTGCTGGGAACTTAAACTCAGGTCCTCTGGAAGAGCTGTACGTGGTTTTAACTGCTGAGCCATCTCTCCAGCTCTGTGAAACACTTTTAATTAAAAAAAAAAAAGTTTTTGTAACTTCTAAACAAATACCCAAGAATCTTCCACAGATTTCTTGGTTTTATATGTCTATGGTATTAAAAACAAATCATTGGAAAGAAATTAGGCATGTATTCTACTAAATGCTTTAGTTAATTCTTAACTGTCCTTGCTGACCAATAAATCTTGTATGGAAGTTCTAGATACAACTATTATAGCAGTCTTCCCTGGAGTTTGGACTGCCTCTTTGGGGCTGCTGTGTTTTGGGTATTCTTTGTATGTTAGCCTTTGCCTTGGGAATGAGTATACTTCTGGCACTAAGATGAATCACTTAGTTGTGGGGCAAAGTCCTTGGAAAGGATCTTAGAAATAGGTTGGTTCCAAGTGGGACACATGCCACAGGAAATCTAGAATGTCTGGTATAGTGGCTGGTGACCAACGTGGGTGGCTCAGAGCAGGATTTACACCCACAGTTCTAATTGGGATCCACTAGCCTAGCTATCTGAGAACCCATTTAAACTTTTGTGTATCAGTTTCTCTCATGTTAACCTTTATTTTTGTTACATTTATTTATTGTGTGTATCCATACCACAGCAAGCTTGTGGAGGTCAGAGGACAATTTGCGAAAAAGTCAGTTCTCTTCTACCCTGTATGTCCCAGGGATCCAAAAGGCCCTCGGGCTTGGTAGCAGATGCCTTTTCTTGCAGTGCCATCTTGCTGACCTTCATGTTAAACTTTCGTAGCAGTAAAAAGCACCAGTGTCTGAGGTTACACAGGTGCTTTTTACTGCTACAAATATCGTAAATGTACTAATACCATATGAAACTCACAACTGACTTAATCGCCAATTGATATTTTGGTAAGCTTCAGAGTATTAAGTATGTGTTTGTGTTTGCAAAGAGTCATCTGTGTAGTTTTGATGGTACAGTTAAGCAGTATTAAACGTTGTTCTAACAGTTAATTGTAATTCAGTACTGACTCTGAATACTGTCGCCCTAACATTGGACAGAGGATTTTTAGTGTTTGTCTTTATTAAGATAGTTCATAATTGATATTTTGGTAAGCTTCAGAGTATTAAGTATGTGTTTGTGTTTGCAAAGAGTCATCTGTGTAGTTTTGATGGTACAGTTAAGCAGTATTAAACGTTGTTCTAACAGTTAATTGTAATTCAGTACTGACTCTGAATACTGTCGCCCTAACATTGGACAGAGGATTTTTAGTGTTTGTCTTTATTAAGATAGTTCATTAGGTCATCAATTGTTCTAACAGTTAATTGTAATTCAGTACTGACTCTGAATACTGTCGCTCTAACATTGGACAGAGGATTTTTAGTGTTTGTCTTTATTAAGATAGTTCATTAGGTCATCATCATCTGGGGCATTTAAGATGAGAGATAGGGTTGGGGTCATAGCACAGTTCTTGGGCATTTTTGCTTGATCTAGGTTAGTGTTTCTCAGCATTTGGGCTGGATGAGTCTTTGATGTGCAGGGCTGTCATGGGCATCTTAAGATGTTTAGCAGCTTCCTCGGCTCTTCTCACAGGATGGCTACAGCAGCCTCCGAAGTAAGGATAACAAAAATGTTCTCGGATACAGTGCTGAGCGTGGTGGTGCATGCCTTTAATCTCAGCACTCGGGAGGCAGAGGCAGGTGGATCTCTGTGAGTTCGAGGCTAGCCTGGTCTACATAGTGAGTTCCAGGTCAGCTGGGGCTACAGGGAGACCCTGTCTCAAAAAGGAAAAAAGAAAATGTTCTCAGATGTTGCCTGATCCTGCCTCTGTGGATTAGAGGGCAGTCTAATCCCAAGTCAGTCAAGGAAGTGTGCCTGTGAGCAGCTGTGTTGAAAAGACACAACCTCAGATCTCAGGGACTTGTCAGTGAGTTTCTGATGACCGTTCTTGCAGCACAGCACCTCGTGGGTGTGCATGCTAGGCCCGCCCTTGCTGCCAGGGCGTCTTGCTGCGCTTCTTCCTGCCTCTGTTAGGCCTGTGCTGTGCATCCTTCCACCAAAGGGCAGATAGGGTAGGAAGCCAAGTTAGAAAACCATCCAGGTTTTAAAAAAATTGTTAATTTCCTTTTTTTTTCTTTTATAGATTCTGTGATCATGAGAGAGGGGAAACAAAGAGTGATCCATGATTTCTAGCACCTTTTCCTGAGGAAATAGTCATGTTGGAAGGTCTTGTAGCCTGGGTTCTCAATACCTATCTGGGGAAATACGTCAATAACCTGAACACCGACCAGCTTTCGGTTGCACTTCTCAAAGGTGAGCACACAAACTTCTCTTTGCAAAGTATGGCATTTCTTTATTCTTAATTAACTTTTAAAAATGGTTACATTTATTTATGTGTGTGTCTGGGAAGACACACGTGTGCCACGGTGTGTGCTTTTGTAGGTCAGAGGACACCTCGTGGGAGTTGTTTCTCTCCTACCACTCCTGAGGTTTCTCTCCTGAGTGGATCCAGGCATCAAACTCAGGTTGTCATCCTGGAGCTGGAGTTACAGGCAGTTGTGAGCCGCCCGACATGGGTGCTGGGAATTGAACGCAGGTCCTCCTGCAGGGTAGAAAGCCATCTTAACCACTGAGCCTTTCTCCAGCTCCCACCATCTTATTATTTTTTTGAGACAGGTCTCCCTGTAGCCCCAGCTGGCCTCGAACTCACTATGTAGATCAGGCTGGCCTCTAGCCTTTGCCTCTCAAGTGCTGACTTTAAAGGCATGCTCTACCATGCCTGGCCCTCTCTTTTGTTTTTAAAGAATATTATTCTCTCTGGCTTTTCATGAGCCCATGAGGAATGCTTTTGTTTCATAACTGGTGTTAGTGTGACTCCCAGACTTAAGGATCCAAACCACGCCACAGTGATTGGGACCATCACTCTTTACTGAGAGGACAGCTTTGGAAGGAAGCTGACTGTATGTGTTGGTCTTGACGGAGTTAAGTAGTGGGCAAAGGAGGCAGATAGTGATCAAGAGCCGGGTTTTCTGTTGCTAGACTGCCTAGGAGGGGCAAAGGGAGCAAAGAAAGGAAAATAAAAAGACTATGCATTTTTTTACCCAGACTGTAGGGTTTGTGTCCAGTTCTATTTCCTAGCAGGTTGGACAAATCACTTAACTTATGTGTGTGAGAAAATATTAACTATCCACAGGGTTCTGAGGATCAAGTAGATTAGTGTGAGTCAAAGATGTCAAAGCTGTTCTTGGCATCTAGTGGGTACCATCATCCATCCCCAGGATTGTCACATGGAGTTCGCTGGTGGGCTGGGGTTCAGAGTTGGGTTGTGTACACTTGTATAAAGTGATAAAAATTCAAAGCACCACACGAGCAGTTGAAGGATAGAGACGGTACTTTTGTTAAGTGTGTACTCATTCATTCATTCAGCAAACATTTAATGCTCACCTTCTGTGGGCAAGGCTCTGGGCTCTGGACTGATGCCAGAGGATGAGGCAGAGAACAGAGCCTGGGGTCACTCAGGTTTAGGCGCTGATCCTGGTTTCATTCCTCACAAGCTGCCTGTGACTGGGCAGGCTACTAAAGGCCTCTCTCACCATTCTCCCTCTGCCACCTTAGAGTGGGCAGACCTGTGAGCCCTGGCGCTGCCACTGCACCAGCTCTGAGATTTCTAAGCCTCATCTTTCTCATCTCAAAAATTTTTTTAATTTTACAAAAACTTTATTGAGAATTTCATACATGCATATAAGGTGTTTTGATCAAATCCATGCCCACTCCCTCCCCGCCAACATTGCCCCCTCTGAAGAGGTAACCCTAAATCTTTTAAGGATTAGATACAAGCTCCCAAATACTTTTGACACTTTTGGCCTTTGGAAGAGAGCATGTTGCTAACAGGTCCAAGGGCATTTTGACTTTTAGCCAAGAAACTGGCTACATTTCTTTGGGGTCTTTTTACCCTAACTGCCTAGCCAATTCCTACCTCCTATTCTTATCATAGTATCCTCTAAAGAGGTTACCCAAATTGCCAATAGGGAATCGGGATGCAGACCGCTCTAGCTTCTTCCATCCTGAACAGGGATGCAGGGTGAGGCAGTTGAAGTACCCCTTCAGTGGGTCTATCCAAAAGACTCCCAAATTGTATAACTCTTATCTCTAGGGGGAAAAGAACATCCTTGAATCATGAATAGGAGATATGAAGGAGAAGTAAAGGCAAGAGTAATTAGCATTACATGTTCTAGACAGAGAACTAGAAAAAAGTCAGAACAGGGCAATTTTCAAATGTTCATATGAAAGTCCACTGGAATTTCTTGACAAGGGCTTCCAAAAGCATCCCTCTATTGGG